AGTGCAAAAGTTTACTGCTTCTGTTTTGCAGCTATTTTAGAGAGCTGCACGTTAGTTTTTCTGTGCAAAACCTTCAGAAGGTTGTAAAGAGTTTGGTGTTGCAGCATGAGCAGTCTGAAGTCTCCAGTTTGGAAAAGTTTCTATAGTCTTGTCTCGTCCCCAGCCCTTTGCCTGCAATGGGACTTTTTATAGACTCAGTCTTTGCAGATAAGTTGTGGGTTTTTTCTTCATATTGGTAAATGTTGCAGGTAGGACCTTAGTTCAGAGGCTTTCAGTAGATCCACTTGGTGATTTAAGCGCATTTCTGGCTATCAGAGAAACTTCTGTTAGCAACAAGTTATCTTTAGGTATTTTTCAGAATACTGTGAAGTAAGCGATGCCTGCTGGTGTTAAAAGCAGAATATGGATCTAGCTGAGTTCTGGGGATGTGATGCTGTCCTTGTTTTCATGAAGGTAGCAAGTTAATAGACAAAATGCCAGCAGGTGGTGCTCAAGAATACACGGTACAGCTCCTGGGCTTTGTAGGACAAGCCAAACCTGTGTGTTCAACATCACAAGCAACTCTTCCCGTTTCTTGTTATGCAGCATTTTAACAAAATGTTCTGCTGCAGTGGAGAGAACCATTCCGATGTCTGCTCTCAATGTTCTTTTTTCCCCTGTACCTTCGCGTCTAGCAAGAGCCACCTCCATTTCACGTAAGCGCCGTCAACATTAAACTGTAACACTAGCTTGGCTCAGCCATCCCCACAATGAGCTGGGGAGGACCTCTGTGCGGGAGGTTGACCTTTTCCCTTTCCCTGGAACTGCCCTCGTTGCTCAGCAAGAAATAAACAATTGCTGGCACATGCAGCCCTCAAAGTCGGCGTCCGTTCCTGCTGTAGCTCTAGCTTCTCCAACGAAGTAGCGATTAGTTGCGTGCTGTTGCGCGGGAAAGGGCTGAAGAGGAGAGAGCTAGAATTTAACAGGCTATTCTGAGTTAGGGTTGGCAATTAATTTTTTTTAATGGAATGAAGGTAGTGTTTGCTGACGGAAAGACAGGTTCCCAAGAGTACAGAACGTTTCCTGGCCACCAGTAGCAAAGCAGAGGTGAAATTTGGTCATCAAGAAGGCTAGTTTCATCTTGCCCTTTTTGAATCAGGTGTGCTGGCTGCTTTGAGATGTTCCTGACATGAAAGGACTGAAAAGGCAATTGTTCCATGCCTTCCAGTTCTGTGCATTAGAGTCCATTTTTCTTAGATACCAACTCCATCAGTATTATCGTTCTCGCCCAAGGAAGCGGTATGTGAGCAAGGGCTACAGGATGAGGCCGTGATGGGATAGAAAAACACATGAACATGTTACTTAAAAAAACCTGAACGTTTCCTAGGCTCTCCTGAACTTTCTGTTCACAGCAGTGTTCAGGAGCTTTTGAGCACTGATGGCAGAAACCACTGCTTACACATTTTTGTCACATTTGCTTGCTTAATAACACTGGAAAATTAATTTTTCACATGTGGACTTCAATTTCTCCTCCTCTGAAAGAAGATTGAGACTTAGGTCTTTGGGTTTCTGTAAGACTTAATTAATTACAGTGATTTGAGAATGAAGGATGCCCTGTCAGTGTCACTTATTCCCCATGCTCCTTCTTCTGGGTACTTATTAAATTCAGTGGTTTTGCTTTTAAAGTCAGCATAGCAAGATTTTTGGAATGACGCTAGCCGTGTGGTTCTGGCTGGTCAGTAACTAGGAGGGTCAAATTCCAAGTTGGCATGTGTTATTTTCGCTCACATAAATTGTCGCAGGAGCTGCTGCTTTTAGTGAAATCCCAGTGAGACTGGATTCCCACCCCAGTATTTTTCTTGTACACACTGTTAATGATGAATGTTGTGAGAGTATTTTCGGCAACTGAAGGCATGTTTTACACCTACATCCAGGGGGAACGAACTCCTCGCACGTGTTGATGTGCCTGTTCTCCGATACGGGTCTCTTTACCAGGCACCTTTGCTTTTAAGTTCGTGAGCGATCTTTTCTCCTTCCTCTGGAGTCAGCGCAGGTAGAATAGAGCAGATGGCTCAGTGTTGGCTAAGTGCTTGCTGATACACAGCAAATTGCTTCTGTAACCGACTGATAGGTTTCAAGCTTTAATTGAGGCTTTCAGCAAGGCGCTCAACAGTGAAAAGCATTCCGCTGAGAAAAACAGCAGCGTAACCATGGGCAAAGGTTCAGGATAGCAGAGTTCAACCCTCTTGGGGATGGCTCCTCTATTTATTTATTTATTTTCTGCTGCTTTCCCACCATCATTCAAGACTTCTGTAATGTCGCTTGCAGATTACAGCTCAGGATATCAGTGCGGCGCAACCCTTTGTGCTGAGAACGTGACGCAGAGACTGATAAATTTGGATTTTCTGCTTGCAGCAGGCTTGAAGTGTCTGCGAAGGTGGCTGTCCTCTGATATTCCTTGGAGTCACTGTCTGCCTGGTCTGAGCAGCAGCTTTTGTAGGTCTCTCTTGCACAGCAGGGAGCACAGCTCCTGCTGTCTTTTCTCTTATGTACGTCAGCATCCTCAGAATTTTAATTTTTAATGAGCATCTCTAAAAGGGAAAGGAAATGTCCCTTGCTCCTCCCTCTCCCCAAGCAGGAGTGGGTTTGACAGCGGAAGAAAGATGTTTGTGGTAGGGTTGTCTGAGCAGCGTCCTGTTGGGCAAGAGGGTTTCCTTCAGCAGCTGTCACTGAGACGGAAGGAGCCGCTCTCCAAAATCGCGTTTTAACTCACGCGAGTAAGAGGCAGCCCGTTGCAGGCAGGGGTACAGTAATCCAGTGGTCTAGCTTTTCCTGCTCCCCCCACTTTTTATCCAGCTTTGAATTCTGCTTTGAATTTGCTTTCTTCATAGTACAGGACCAAGGAATAAATTTCAGCATGGAAAAAGTATCTGTGGAGCTAGCTTTGTTTAGTGTCTTCAATTAGTCAGAAAGGAGTTGCTTCAAGTTACAAAGCTGGCTGTTTGGCTTTGAAGTTTAGATTTTATTTAGCGCTGGAGTTGGTCTAACAAAAAGACCCTAAAAAAAGGCACTACATGAATAAGAGAAATGAAACTCTATGATTCAAGTTTCCTGAAGAGTCCAAGAAATCAGTGATGTTAAAAGTAGTGCTGGTAGCTTAGGAACGCCGGTGGACCCTCTCTGCCCCAAGGAGCTCAGAAGTACGACGATTTTTGCTCAGTTCTGAAATCCCAAACACGTTGGGTAGTGTCGGCAGCGTGTGTTTTTATGTTCCTTTAGCTTTTCGATGGCTTAAAATGCACTGAAAACGCGAACTACTGCCAGCGTGCTTTTGTACTCACATGAATTTAATTAAAAAGATAATTAGATTGCTTTATCAGCCTTCACATGTCATCCCAGTGTCACCCTCTTCTCCCCCCCTCTAACAGTGTTGACAAACCCAAGGCATCTGAAGTCTGTATTTTTCTGTATTGTTCTGTTCTCCCATGTCTCGGGTGGGGTACAGAGGTGACTGTGGTTTCTGTTGAGTGGTCGATCTGCTGCCACGGTGGGAAGGAAGCGGCTGATCAGCAGAGCCAGCCTGTTCAGATGGTCCCTGCAGGGGCTGCCCTGGGCGAGTGGAGGGGGAAATGCCATGTAGCTGCAAAGCAGAACAAACCAAAGCAGACCAACCCTTTGCCAGGTCCACTGCCTAGATTGCACTGACGATGTATATAGCCTGAACTGTGCAGCTGAATCTGCAAGCTGCACAAGGTGGGGAGTTTTTGTGGTTTCCCTGGAAATGCAACCGAGGAATGCAAGATCCGTTTTTAGTGCAAAACACTGATGTTTTCATGTAAACAGAGAAGTGCCCAGCTTGTGTTGTTTAATAAACCTGAGAATGTATCCCGACTTTTCGACCAGAGGAGCAGATTCGTGCACAGAGAGGAGCGGAAGGGCATGTGAACTGAGCAAAACGCTGCTGTGCTATCCTGGTGATTGCTCTCCGCCAGCCAGCACAACTCCTTCCCTGGCAGCTCCGTGGCCGCGCGCTGCCTCCAGCATTGCTCACTTTGTCAAGCCTCTCCTGGTCCTAGTGTGTGCTTCATGTTGTCCTTGGGAGTGGCGTTTTGATGCTCGTCATCGGTTCCTTGAACTTCTAGAGTTTCATCGAGCCACCTCCGGGAATTTGGGAGGGTGGGTTTTCTCTAAAGAATACTATTTATAATAAACAGCCTCTGTTCCAGTCGTTTGTGGCAACATGGCTGCCAAGGAGGTAAGAATTGTCTTTTGCTTATCCAGCTGGTTTATGGACAAGGCAATCAGTGGAGTAGCTTGGGCACAGCCATAAGTAGTGCAGGGGCATGCAGAGGGCTGGGGCAGGTAGGATTAGGCAGTCTGGAATGCTTTTCTTGAGAGTGGAAATGCTGTTGCATGGAAGACTTGGAGACTTCGCAAGTTAGTTTCTGTTACAATTGGAGGGTGACAACATGACTTTCTAGAATCCTTTAAGACAGGACAAAAAAGCCTGTGGGTCTACTGGAATTCTTCACTTGGATAAAATAGATTTTAATTCATTCTGAATGTGAATTCGCCAATTAGCAATGTAGAATAAAGTGTCTGTAGAATGATGTTTTGATGGCCTCTCTCTCCCCCCCACTTTCTTAATTACTAACTCCCTTAAAAAGAACCTACAGGTTTGGAAACAGTGTAATAGCAGGTATCTGTTATTAGCCTGAGGAATAAGGTATTTGCAAGAGGAGGTGATGGAAAGAAAGATACTCTGGAGTTTGAAAACCTTATTTTAAAGTAAAAATGGAGTCACAGTTTTTCATTGCTTCCACAAAAGAAATTGATTTAGACGTACGAGATTTTCTTTTCCATTTAAGTGTTTTAAATACAGCATTTCGACAAACAGAAAAGACAAAACTGAAAATACAAAGCAGCCCACTTGATGGTTGCATGTAGGAGGCACATATCCAGTCGATTTTTTTCAAGGAGTTTATGGTGGTGTCAGTGTGACCCTTTCATTTTTCTTGCAGAAAAAGATTTACAAGTACAAGAAGGTGCTCAGTAACCCCAGCCGCTGGGAGGTGGTGTTGAAGGAGATCAGGACGCTGGTGGACATGGCGCTGACGTCTCCGCTTCAGGATGACTCCATTCACCAAGCACCACTGGAGATTGTCTCAAAACTGCTCTCAGAGGTAAGACCTCAGCAGTGCTCCTGCGAGACACTTCCACACTTAGACGAGAGAAAAACAGTTAAAAGTTGGTGGGTGGGTTTTATTTTAACTTGGGCTGTCAAAATTCTGCCTTTGAGTCTGCTCGTGACTTCTGTTGTCTTGAGTGGAATTTGTACTTGCTGGGAAGAAGGAGTATTTGACCCATATTAGGTAGATTTCTAGAAACAAAACAAAACATGTTTCTCTTGAGGCTTTTGTTGTTGTTGATTATTTATGGTAAATTTATTATGAGTGCGATTCATGTCTTATTGCAAGTGAGTGGTAAAACTCCCCTTGACTTCTATTCCATTGGCTTTGTTTCCATGACCGATAATTCTTATAGCAATATGTATACACCAATAAATTCATTGTGCAGCCATTTTTTTATTACCAGTTCTGTCAAAGAAAAATATTTTACTTCTTCAGAGGTATCTATCCTCCTCACATAGCATCTATTTCAAATAGTTAACTTTTCATGGACAGGAAATGTAATGCCAAGCAGGTTTTTAATGTTTTAGTTCTGATATGCAAAGATTTGCAATGAGCAAAAAAGTTGCTAGCTATTTTTCTTGCAGAAGGCAAAGATTGTAGCAACTCACAACTTTGTAAGCTCTGAATGGATCATGCTGCTGAGAAAGTCAAACGCCAACTCTTTTGCATAGATGGTAGCATAGGTGACTTCCCGTAAATTTATTGGCCTTTACTGGTTCTATGTTTGAAGAAGGAATTTCAGGAAGACCGCAGCAGTTAGTTTACTACCAACAAATGGTATACAACACCACAACAATCCTTTTGTTAATTTTTGTAGATACATACAGCCTGTCTTAAGAAAACATTTTTAAGAAACATATCGCTGGCTTTAATTTTCCAGTTGATTGAGACCTACTCGGGCATCTTGGTGTTTGTATGCTCAGCTTTCATGGCTAGTGTGGCTTGAATCTGAATGTGCTGAGGGAGTAGAAGCTTGCACAACCCTTCATAGCAAATAGTATACCAACTTCTTTAAGAGAGTGATTTTAATTCAATTAATTCTGTTCTGAAAATAAGCAATGGTAGTCTTGAGCCTTTCTGCTTGTGCCTGGTGGTAGCTAAGAGGACTGTGTATGCTGATGTGCCAACTCAGAGTACTCTTTGCTCATTTATTTCTTCTGTTCAACTCTTTCAGAACAACAACTTAACCACTCAAGACCACGAGAGCATTATTGTGGTGAGTATCTTTCTGTTGAAGTCTGAGGACAAATTTGTATTGTTTGGTAACGCTTCTGTAAATGCTTGCCTCTGCTCCCGTGAAGTGCGGCAAATATGGAAGTGTTTACGCCAGATCTGGTGAACTTGGGCAGGATCAAACCCATTTGTTCTACTGGTTTTTGTGTGGTTTTGTCATTCCTCTTTTCTTGTTTCGTAGATGAGTAGCAGTAAAGTTTCCTTGTCAACTTACATAAAACAGTGCAGCGTGTTGAGGGTTAATCGTCTCCCAAAATGGCCTCCTTACTAGGCTGCACAGTGCAATGTGCATATCTATATACATACTTTAAATAGTCAAAAAACATTATTTCCAGATGTGCCCTATAAAACCCTTAGGCTTAGTAGTTTCCTGAGAGGCTAATGCTGCCATATACAGAATGTCTCCATTGCTGATGGTATGTGAGCAAGCGATTGTTTTGGTAAGTGTGGATGTGTGTATGTGTCACTGCAGTTTAACCCCTTGCTTACTTGATTTATGAAAACATTCTCTTCAACTTATTTCTTTTGCATAGGTCGAGTTTATTTCAACATAGAAATAGAGTGAATCCAATGGCAGCACTCTTCCTTGTGCCACAAAATACAAAATCTCAACGATTTATCAGAGAGGTGGAACTCGGTTCCCCATCACCGTAATTTAATTTCCGTCACTGGCCATTTCCAGGAGATTTTCCCAGTAATCTAATCTAGAACCTCACCACCACCTCATCATATCACATCTCCGTGACTCTTTCTGCAAAATGACAAGGTGGCATGTAGCTGTCAGTAGGTGTGAATTGTGCTGAACTGTTGCTTCAGATACCATTTTAGCTGGAATCAGTCACAGATAAGTTTCCAAAGTGGCATTTACTTTTCTTTAAGATCTGCTATAGCTTTCATTTTACTCTAGTGCCAAGGATAATTCAGGCCTCCAGTTACAACTGGTTGTTTTGGGGAAAGGATTTTTTAAAAAAACAGATGTAAGATAGCCATGCTGTGAGCAGGGAAAGTTGGACCAGGTGGCCTCTGAAGGTCCTTTCAGCCAGCAATTCTGGGTGATGGCTTCTTCAGTTCAAATCCTGCCCTTCTGTAGATTGTGCCCACACCACTAAGGATATGGCAGTTTCTGGGCATTCGGAGCTCACTGCCGTTACACAGCTAACCTGTGCTATTCTTAGGAAGTATTGCTAATACTGTGTATTTATGTAGTATCTTAAAAGTACACAGTGGTTTGCTGTGCAGATGGAACCAGCTTTCCTTCTCTAGATGGTGCTGGAACAGATGGATATTACAACAGATCCCTTCCTGCTAAGAAAGGGGAAGCACACGTTGCCATAACTGGGCAACGCGAGACAGTAAGTTGCTGCTTTTAAGCTCAGCGCACGTAAGGAAAACAGAGGGCACGTTCGTGCTGTCACTCCTCCACGCTGGCTGCACAAGCAGAGCCATGACCTGCTTGACAGTGTCTGTTGGGGTTATTCCCCACATTCGGTAAGGACTGGGCTGAAATAATAAAGCTCATTTTTCTTGGGATGACAGCCAACCAGTTACACCTCTGATGCAGCGATGCTGACAGTTACCGGACAGGTATAAACACTTGGCGATTTTGCAATACGTGGCTCCTGAGTTTGGCAGGTCCTGCAGCAAACACTCCAAAAGATGGAGTCTAGGAAGATCTTTAGCTCAGGTGTTTGATGGGGAGCGAGAATATTCTAGTCTCACTGAATAGTGTCCTGTTCTCCATCGGTCCACTTGCTGGACCACCACCAGAGGAAAAGCGAGCAGTTGCAGAAGAATGGCACACGATAACGAACACAGACTTCACAAATGGTTTGTGTAACCAAAACAGATCTTTGCAGATGTGCTTGGGTTTCATTGTTAAAATTCACTTTAATCTTGGCTGGTTTGTATGTGAAAGTGTCTATTGTGAAACAGTCATTGCAAGTAGACTCTCCGGGGCTGAAATCCTTAAGGAGACAAGAGGGAGGGCAAAAAACAAAGCAGGCTGCCTTAGTAAAACTCCAGGTGCCATCCAGATAAAATATCTGGTGTTCAGTTGCTTAATACAAAATGTCCTAGCTGCTGTGTTTAGAGTCTTACTTTTAAATGGGTACTGGGAATCCCTTTAGCTCAAGACTGGAAAAGCCCGAAGGCACCATCACATAGAGAGAATACATTGTTCTGGTACCATTTTCTAATTTACAAAGGAAGTAACAACATAAGTTCGTTACACCCTCAGTGGCAGGTGTATAACCTCTAACGTATTTACTGAGCATAAGCACATTGGTTTGTGTAGCAGCCAAGAAGGAATGGTTGAGCTCAACTTTCACAAAGTTAGATGCCTCATTTTGATGAATAGCGTCCTCCAGGGTAAGAACAGTGCTATGCTACTTTTAGTGAATTATTTCTCACAAAAAGGGCTTGAACTCTTTCATAAAGGGGGTGTGTGTGTCTGTGTATGGTGTTTTTCAATTTTTTCTTATATGGAGATGTTACAACGAAAACAGTGAGCCAGATTCATCCTTGCTGTATTACATCCTAAAACAATTGGTCTGCTCCTGTTTTCATTTAAACCATTATGAAAATTGTACTACTTTGCCATGTTTTATGTATTTATACTGGTGTAGTTAAAAGCAACATTTTCCAGAGGATTCATAGCAGAGATGTGCTTGATCTTACATGTAAAATAAACACACAGCCCACCTCTAATTTCTCTATTGATGATTTTGTCCTTCGTATTTAAAAGTGAGCTTTTTTTTTTCCCCAAGGAAAATACTTCCCTGCAAAATGCTTACTTGAGTTGTAGTCCTGTAATTAATTTTTTTTCTCTCTTTCTTTTTCAAAGGCAATTGCACCTTTGCTGGAAAACAACCATCCTCCTCCTGACCTCTGTGAATTCTTCTGCAAGGTATCAGAACAGCTTTGCTTTCTGAAATCTCATAGTTGTGTATGAGTGTAGTTCTTTGAGAGAGTGGTTGATTTTTTTCTTTAACTCCCTACCTCATGCCCAAATTGATCAGAAGTGGGCACATTACGGACTTTTCCTCTTCAGAACTGAAACGGAGAAGGATGATGTATCTTCAAAATTGGCCCTGCCTTAAGTGGGGATTGGACCAAATGACCTCCAAAGGTCCTTCCCAATCTAAATGGCTCTAAGTGATACATTATGATGGTGTGTTTTAGCCTGTGATGGGAGATTGACTTGTTGGAACCCTCCAAGATCCACCTCAGGTTTTCAGCCTGGATTCCAAGGAAGGGAGGTTTGTGCCATGACACTGCCTGCCTCTACATATCTTTTTGTATCCAACCTCTTTACTTTTAAAACTGCTGACAAGTTTCAACCAAATTTGACAAAAGGTGTACAAGTCTCAAAAATACTACATTCCAGTGAGTTTTGTGAAGAATACGCAGTAGGGGAAGGAACTCTTTGAGTTCCTAAGCTCCCATGGTAATCTTCTATTAGATGCCAGCAAATCCATAGGAGAGAGCAGTGTTATGAGCACCCTAATCTCAGAAGAAATTAAGTTAGCCCTTGGATTTAATTAATCTTAGGGTAATCCATGCGTGGGGTGTGAAGCCATCTTCATAATTTCTGCAGCTCACAAAATGACTTGTTGCTCGTTACAGCACTGCCGAGAGCGCCCGCGGTCCATGGTTGTCATAGAAGTGTTCACCCCAGTGGTACAGAGGATTCTCAAACACAACATGGTGAGTGCACGTGTTACAGGAACTTAGACGCTTTGGAAAAGTTTTACTGTGATACTTTTTGTAATTAGCAGCTGCCCTATTGCCCATAGTGAACAAAGCACTGTGATATCTAAATCTTACCCCCCAGACTGTGAATGCTACATGCAATTGTGTCTTGCTTTATAAATGCAGAAATCATAAGCATTCAGTGGGACTTTAAAAAGCATCTAAGCAAAACCATGATTCGAGGAACGTTTCTTTTGGCAGCAGTGCCAGAGTATGCGGCTCCAGGTCTTTCCCACCTGGTTCTTGGCTCTTATTTATCCCCTCCATGCCATTCTTGTAGTTATAATGGTTTAAAATTAATTAAATAACAAAATCAGAATAGGGACTTTGTTGGTTTTGAGCTGAGGCCCTCAACATTTTTTCTTTCAGACACCCCAAGCTCTCTGGATTCTCATTTTTCTTTAGCCTCATGCCCAATGAGTTCTTACCTAGGTTTCCTCAATTTACTTATCCTTTTCTGCTGTTCTTCTTCCTCCTCGTTCCAGGAATCGTCTACTCTGTCATTTTATGGTTGTTCTCTCCTGGGCTTTCTCTCTTCTCTCGTTGCTGATCAATTCCTTGCTAGTGATTGAAATAAATGCTAGGAGACTGCCCTGCCAGCTTTGCTCTCTCCACCCAATACACCAGATTTGCGTCCTCCCACCACCCCAACTCTGAAGATACTCTTACATGATCCGTATTCCTTTCCTGAGAGAAGTCTGGGTGTTTACCAGCCCTCCATCCTTTGTGGCATATTAAATTTCCTGCCATGGTTTTTAAGTTACATAAAGAAATTTTACTACACAGTGCAGTGCTGTGGCAAAGAGTAACAAATAAAAAAAATAAAATATTTCAGGCAGTTGACTTGGCTGTGATCTCAAGGATGGATCTTGTACCTCTGCAGCTACACAATCAACCTCTTTCCACTAACTGATACAGTTTTAGAGACCATCCACTGTCCTGCTGTGTATAGCATGAACCCAGTAGAAAACAGTTCATGTTTCTTATTTTTACAACGGTATTAGTTTTTAACTCCTTGAGTTTACAGAACTAGGTAGAAAGCCCAAGATGGCAAAAAGGTCGTGTTCCTGGCTCTGTGCCTGCACTGCGCAGACATGTAAACATTTTTGAATATTCTGTAGTGTTCAATGAAGTATTCTGTAAATGTTATTCTTGGATTCCGGAGTAATTTTTTTAAAGCATCCAGAGCTCTTGAGGGGTCTCAAATAAAATCTAAATGCATAGTGTAATGCTTGTATTTGGTTAGCTTCAGAGAATTGGGTATATTTACCATACTTAACATTTGCAGATTGAAAATCAACATGCCTGTACCGCAGTGTGTAGTCAGAGAATTTACAGTGCCATATATTAATTGGAGTGGATTTGAGCACTTTACAGCTCTCCAGGGACTTCTGTACTGAATAGTCTTTTAGAGAACATCTGTGTGTGTGTGCGTATAAATAAAGTTATCCTTTCGGGGGACAGTGCTGTTGGCAGTAAACTTCATAACCTTAGGAGGCCCCACGCGATTCGGTGTGCTTAGAGCAGGAGACCTAGCTGTCTGTTCTCACCTTTGCTGCTAATTTGCTCTGTGATCTTTGATAAGTTCACAACAAGTTTTGTTCCGCAGTTTCCCACCTATAAAATGAGGACAGAATGCAGTTACATGCAGGACTGGAGACTATTATAGGCTGAGTTGTTCGGGGCAACGTCTCAGTACCTTTGGATTTCAGCTGTTTAAAGGCTCAGCCCAAATGTTTGAATATAAGCACTATTGTTTGAGAGTGGGGGTTTTTTCATAGAATCATAGAATCTTAGAATCATTAGGGCTGGAAGGGACCTTCAAAGGTCATCTAGTCCAACCCCCCTGCAAGGAACAGGGATATCTCCAACTAGATCAGGTTGCTCAGGGCCTCATCCAACCTGGCCAACAATATTGATAGTGTGTATTGTTCTTACCTGATATGGTGGCAGGGCATCATATTATATTTAAAGAGATATTTTATTTTAGAGCAGTCAGCAATGACATCTTCTTTGTGATCTCTTGGACTTCCATTCTCCCTTCAGTTAGGATACCTACACAGGTTGAAAAATTTAATAAATAAATTGCAACTGCAAAAGCTATCTTGCAAGGAGTGTTCATGAAATTAAATGGCACCAAATGACACACAAAGCACAGACAGTCTCATGCCCTTGAACCAAGTGTATTGGCATCTGCCTGAAGGAGTTGTTAGAAGTTTAATGATTCTAATTGTAATACCAACTGTGGAATCACCCACAGTCTCCTTGCTGGGTGAAGTTACCAGGTGGCCATTCAGCACTAGCAAAGAGTGACACTTAGACTTGAAGGAGATGTCTTTCTGCCGAGGATTGTATTCACATTTTTGATTACTTTCTCTAGCTGTAAAACCTATGAGATGTTAATATAGGTTGTGCTATAGAAGTACCTGAAACCAAAATAAGTAACAGAAGGTTTCAGTGCTGTGGGAGTGTATCTTCCCTTTTACAGACCACCAGTTCATTACAGCTCGTGGCATTTCTTTAAGATTTCTGTTGCCATTTATTTTTTTAGAATTACTCTTCTTCCCCAGCCAGCTGCTTGAGGGATAACTGGGAGGGCTGGTTTGTCCTCAGTAGGCCTCCTTCACCACTTGGAAATTTAGCTTTGTAGTTCTGTAACACCTGTGTAATAAGGTTACACCTGTGTAAATGTGAAGAAATGTGCTGTGGAATAACGCTCAGCAGACAGCAGATTTTACTCCTTTCACATCTAAAAATATCAGGTGATGTGAGGAGATGCAGGATTTCAGTTAGCAGGTGCATTTCCTACTGCAGGATTTAAAGCAAGTATCTGTTGAGCTCACCTGTCAAATTCACATTGTAGCTGGAGTAAAATCCCTGGATAAAGGGCTGATCTCTGGTTTTATACTTGACCGCTTATTGATCGCATATCAAAAATATTTTCTCTAAAACCAGAACAGATACGATGTCAAACATGGAATTAAAAAATTATTTTTGAGCTGCATTTCTAAAAAACTGCAGTTATGAGTGGAAACAAAAATGCAAAACAATAAAAAATGCATTTCAAAATGAAAGCTATAAAGTGAAGTGTACGAAAGAAATGTAAGTGAAGGTAGGATTTTTTTTTTTTCTTCATTAAACATGTCTTTTGTTTCAAGGTGGGTATGGGGGAAAGGACAACTGGAAAGCGTGTCATTATTAGTGGGAAGAACATTACTTCAGCATGCAGTGCTACTGTGCTCTTGAAGCTGTCAGCATAATAGCAAAGTGAATTCAGTTGTGTTTGAGTTGATTTCTTTTGAAAACCCACGGTTTTGATGTACATTGCAGGCATGTTTCACCGTCTTCACTGAGTCTCTCCTTTTTGGACAGGATTTTGGGAAGTGTCCTCGGTTGCGGCTGTTTACTCAGGAGTATATTCTGGCTTTGAATGAGCTGAATGCTGGAATGGAGGTGGTGAAGAAGTTTATTCATAGGTTAGTTACATTTAATTTATGGTGTGTTTCCAGTCCTGTGTACATGCTTTGCTGTGTTACTTCTCCCAGCCCTGCTCGTCTCTTTACTGGCTGTTAAGAGTAGCTGGTGCTTTTTGGTACTGGCAAACAGCAAATAAATCAGAAGGGTCCATGAGGCAATGTTGCCGACGTTTTCTGTTTATTTTTTGTTTTTTTTAACTAATTCTCAAATATGGCCAGAGTTTTCTCCCTAGTCAGACGCTGGAAGCAAGTGGACTTTGCTGTGTGTACATTCTTTTTATAGGTGTAGACTCAGCTTCTGCAGAGAGATTCCCATTAACTTTCAACCATGTAATGCTCAGTCATGTGTGAGATTTTGGGGGTACTGTAGAGATACCACATCAAATAAACTGAGGATGCAGCTTAGCTTTATTCATAACTAGTGCCATTGGGTAGGGTTTTACAGGGTTAAAATAACTCTGTTAGAGCCCTTCTGAAGATTCCCCAGGGCTGTCTACCCAGTTCTGGCACCCCGTTCTGTCTGACTGTTTTTGCCCACAGAAAATCTTCCTCACAATGATGTCATCTTGGCTTCTGTTTTTCAGCATGCATGGTCCAACTGGACAATGCCCCCATCCCAGGGTCCTGCCAAATCTTGTAGCTGTCTGCTTAGCAGCCATTTATTCGTGTTACGAGGAGTTTATCAACAGGTCAGTATGAATTCCCAGCTGACCGCGTGTTACTCGCTTCCAAATCTGTGAGCAAGATCCGTGTGAGCATGATGTGGGTATGTGAGAGCGTGTTGGTTCTCACTCTGCTCATTGCTGGTGTTACATGTGGGAGTACTGGTTAATCACATGCATGTTTTTGTAGACATGTGACTGTATTTGTTACACTTTGTGTGGTTGAAAACCAGAAAGATGCTGAACCTTCATCCACTGGTACTCACTGTGACGTGTTTGGAGGCAGCGAGCATGAGAATTGTCTATTGCACATCTTTGGCTCCCATGCTTAAAAATGGGGTCAGTGCTGGTGATGGAAGGAGCTTGGCAGTTCCCAGTACAGAAGTACTGCAAGCTGCAGTAACTTCCAGGACGAAGCTCAACAGCTAGCTGCGTGCTGATCTTGGCCACTGTTGAGGTATTCCTGTATGGCAGACTGCAGCCGTAACCAGCCTTTTTAGACCAGCAGAAGATGAGAGTGCTCCACAAGAGTCTCTGGGAATTAAGTGCTACTCAGAGCAGTGTCTGTTTTGCTCCCTTTCTGGCACACGAAGTATGTGTTACAACTAAAGCAAAGGGAAAGGTGAGATCTTGAAGAAGGGGTTGTGTGTAAATCCCTGTGTATCTACGGCTTTGAACCTGCACTGGTTTCCCAATGCTGTCTCCATTATTTTGGAAAATTTTGGTTCCTGACTTATCTCAAAATAGATGCTGCAGTTCTTGACGCACAAGCCGGTTTCCAGTAGAAACTGAGGTTCTCTGCTATTTTTCATGTTTCTTTATGCCCATCTGACTTCCCTCATGGTAGAGCACGGACAGGGGCTGCTTAGTGTCCGACAAAAATTCCAGATGTGAGGGCTGCAGACAAATGTCTGGGCATGTACTGTAGCCAGATACATACTTGGATGTGGGTTCTGTTACAGCTTTGCACAACTTGGATGGGAAAGTTCACCTTTGTACTAAACTGACATGTCAATTAGAGTAATGAAAAGCTCAAATCCTTCTAGAATAGGGGCTGCAGAACAGTCTTGTTGGAGCCTTTTAATGTTTTTAATTGATTTCAGTAATCTGATTACAGAGGAGAAAGCAGTCCGGTGGGCTGGGGTGAAATGTAGCGGGAAATAGCAAAAGCTCTTGGCCTCTCAGTGTTGCACTCTCTCTGCTGTTACGTCCGTCTATTGAAATTATTTGTTTATTTTTAAAATTCAGTCGAGACAATTCGCCAAGCCTGAAGGAAATTCGGAATGGCTGCCAGCAGCAGTGTGACCGAAAGCCTAATCTCCCCCTCCGCCTTCTTCACACAAGTCCTGACCTGGTCTCTCAAGAGGCCACCTTGACTGAATCCCGTCTCAAGCCAGTTATTGTCACTTCAAACGAGATCCACGTGGAAGTGGAGCGCAACAACACCGCTAATCAGAAGATGACAGCCAACGTCGGCAATGACAGCGAGCCCAACCTGATTGACTGCTTGATGGTCAGTCCTACCTGCAGCACCATGAGCATTGAGCTGAGTGCCCAGGCAGACAGGATCCTTGCCTGTTATGTTGAAATACTCAAGATGCTGTGAGTAACTATTTTAAAAAGCTTTTTGAACAATGTCATCTTAACAATGGAGGGCTTTTCCCACAGGCCTGTCATCTTCAACATCTGTGGCCAGCAAGCACATGGTTGTAAATCTAACTCCAGCTCTAGAGCCCAGCCTCCGAAAGAGACATCTGGCACTGCCAATACGTTCTAAAAATAGTATTAGGAAGATGAAAACGGAAAACTTATTTGTACGGTGAGCCTCAGGCATATTGCAGAAGACGGGATGTTGTTGCCAGTGGTTTCTGTTTTGTTCTTGCCCACCACAAAATAAATAAATCTGTTTGTCTCCTCCAAGGCTCTTGGGATTGCCCGAGACAGAGCTAGAAAAGACAGGTCTGTGCTAGGCTCAGTGCTTGTGCAGGGATAGGCAGTGCCACTCCCCTGGCTTTAGCAGGAGTTGGATGAGGGCAGTGTCTTTCACTTAGCTGTTCTCCCTTTACATCTTTGTAGAAGTTTTATGACTTGTTCAGATTTACTGGTATTTGAGTGGAGCCTCTATTTGTCGACTGGTTGCTTTGGTACAGCAGGCCTGTATTAGTGCTCAAATAGCCTTTACAAAATGATGGCTTCGTGGTTTCCTGGGAGGCAAATCCTCTGAATATCTTCAAGAGGAGTATAAAATAAAGAGTTCTTTGGGAAGAGCTTGGTTTTCTCCTGGATAAATAAATGAAAAGTAGTAACACAAAAGGGGGGGCTGCAGAATGGAAGTTTATAATAGAAGTACAGTAAACCAACCCAAAACAACTTTGTTGACTTTGACAGCGGGTTCTGCTACTGAGTTGCAGTATGTCTTTGGGCAAACTGTTATATTTCTACATTAATTATTTTTAAACAATGTAAGGCTTAATGAAGTAATAGTTGAGTTTTTTAGAATACAAGACATGGTGAGCAAAATTTGGAGTCTGCTGTAAACCATGAGCATGTGGCTACACTGAAATAAAATGCAAATCTGGGTTTATGCTCTTGATTTAAATGAAATCCAACTGCTGCGATAGAGGATTTTGTGAAAGTTTTGTCTCATGTTTTTGTTTGTTTTGTTTTGTTGTTTTTTTTTTCAAAATGCGTAGTACCAATTTGCAACGTAGTTCCTTCACTCACTGCAGAGCTGGCTTGGAAATGCATACATAAGTGCACACTCAGAACTAGACAGGACAGGTGAATCCAAGATGCTGTTCCCATTAGATTCTGGAGCAGAAAGTTGCTGAAGGTTAATTTTTGGATTTTTTCCCCTCCCTGGCCCAGCCTCTTTTGCCTTTAAAAATGTTTTCATTAAAAAAGTACAGCATCTGACTTTACTTCATCTGGTAGCTTCTAAGTCTTCACGCACTCAGGTGCTACATTAAACACATCGTGTATTTATTCCCATCCCCTTGACTCTAGATGTTTTCCATAAACACTATGAACTCTCTCAATCCTGATGCTGGCTTGGATGCTGACTCACTTAAGCATTGACAGTTTTGGTTTCATCATGCAGCTGACACACACTTATAAACAAATTCACGAATGGGCATGTTCTTCCTCACACTCTCCATGTTTTAAACATTTGATATGCCAGGTCTCAATTCCCATATAATTTCCTACACAAAGAACTTTTATTTCACGCCATACCTTAAAATAACATATTTTTTAGATGTGTTTGCTGTCTTTTTAAAAATCAAGTTCTTCAATAGCAGCAGTGAAAATGGGAATCTGTTATTGTTATCGCACAGGTTGTAGGTGTGGAGCAGCTTTGTGCCCCTTTTCAGCTTGTAGTGGTAGTTCTGAAGGGTGAAACCTGTAGGGTGTGTATAGTAAAGGACCAGCGATGCTACAGAATCGGTGCATCCCTCCTCAGACTGCCTTGCCAGAGTCCACACCCTGCTTGAGAAATCACAACCTGGGAGAATACAGGACGGTTTCTAAGGCAGAGCCGTGGCTGGTATATGTTGCAGCTCCACTGATTTGGGTTCCCTTCTGTTCCTGTTCATCCATTGACGTTTTTTCTGGACCTGAAAGCATTAATGCAGAAATGAGTTCTGTTCCTGATTCTACCACTGGCTTACTAGGAGGTTTTAGATAAGTCACTTCTTTTTGTGCCTCGGTTTTCTTATCCGTAAAATATAGGTAAAGATTTTTGAATGTTGTCCAGTGATGGAAAAGCATTGTAGAAGAGCTAGTAGTTATTCACAGAAATGAAAGATAATGCTGTTTTGATGTTGATTCCTTGCATGCTCAAACTCTTCTTGAACCAAGGCTTTCCGATGCACTAAATACTATTACTGTACTTCGAAAAAACAAGGATATGAAGAAAGAGAGTTGAAGAACATGCCAGTAGGAAGAAAACATTAATTATAAACCAACTGCTATCCAGGAGCTGAGCTCTCAGCGGGCAGTCACTAATATAATGTTCTTATTAATAACGGTGGTAAGCCAAACATAAATAAGTTGCTTAGCATTGAATTTAATTGTTCTTTTAGGTGTCTGACTTAATATCATCCTCAAAACAAGAGTCGCCAACAATGATATCTTTTTTACATAATTAACTTAGGGCAGCAGGGAGTAATTTATTTAGGCATATTTTAATTATTGAAAATCTGGCAAATAAGAATTCTTAAGAGCATCTTCAGCAGAGGACATTTTATCGTTCACCTAACTCCTACACAATACTTACTTTTTTGGAGAAAAAAAGCACTTCTAATACTGATAAAAATGTAACAGCAATTATTTAATGATCACTGTAATACCTCTCTTTTTGCACAGAAGGCTAAATGTGAAGATTAGAAAGTTCATCTGTGTGGCTGTTATCACAGCACTAAGAACGTCTTTGACCCTTTTTCTAATGTGTTTGAGTAACAGAGCGCAACTGCTGCATGCTAAAGGGGAAATCATAGTTTTAGAGATGATGGCAGATGACCCAAAGTCTGGGCAGATTTTAAAGGAGACACAGGTTCTGGTGGAACGTGGCATTTTTGTCCTGCACTCAAAAGTGGATCAATCTTCTGTGTCTCATAGTGTTATTGATGCCAGTCAGTGCCTCCTGAATGCTACAAGTCTTAAACTGGTGTGTAGAAAATGCACTAAATTAATTGAAATCTTTCTGTTCATCATATTAAATTAGAGGCTCTAAGAGCAGCTTTTTATTGTCCAGCTCCTACTTGCATGTTGATGTTTCCATGCATTAGAGAATTTCTTGTACAGCCGAATTTGTGCTTGAACAGCACAACTGCGGTTAGAGAAGCGGGATGCGTGGCCTCCTCCTTGGACTGGATAACTTCAAAGTCTCCGTGTCACCTGAAGGACCCCACTGATTCCTGTGGCAACACTCAGTGTATGGGGGGAACGCAGTGAAATCCAGATCAACAAACAGCAAACTAAACCGGCTGCAAGAACAGACACCTCTTAGGGACGCTGTGATGATGATGTATCATAAGCTGTCATCCTTCATCTGTGTTATTCTTTGTTTCCATGGCTACCTGTAGTGGCAAGGGTCCTTCCAGATGGCTGAACACTCGTACCCCTCTCTGGGGCCTGTGTGACCACGGCAGAGTCGGCTCCTTGGAGCACGATGCTGTGGTGCCAGCTGTGAGCCGTGGAAGCCTTTTCTGTTCTCTGCAGCCAGGGCAGGACCTCTCCAGGGCCCTTCAATGGTTTGCTTCTTTTGAAAAAACAAGCAAGCCCAACTCAAAAGAAGGTTGAACTTGAAAAGACACTTCAATGTTTTGCAGGTAGAAGGTTTGTACCTTATATGACAAGGGATCTGGGTTTTTTTCTCAGCCTACCCTGGAGTCCTCAGCTAGACCTTGTGTCACACGGTTCAGAGGAGTTGGACCTAGAGCCAGGGAAAGAAAGGATAAGATGCATGCCTAGGGGCTTGGCCATCTCATTATAGGAGTTACCTAAAAGATTTTTGATCTCATCAAGCTTCTTAGCTGGAGAAACGAGCTGCTTCCAAGTCATTGCTCCTTGTCTCTGTATAATCCTCTAAAAGCGGAGGGCTCGGGGCTCGCAGTCTCTCAGTGATAAGACCGACAGCGTTCCAAACGCAAGCACCCGCTGGAGCTTCCCCTGCCTTCTCTGCATTCCCCAATAGGTCAGTGGCATGCTCTGAATATCCCAAGTGGATTCTCTTATGTCATGTTTATCAGGGTTGCCCTGGGCTGCTGATATGTTTTGGATTGTTTGTGCCGCACATGACATATGGGCAGGTTTTCATTTTGGTGAAAGGTGATCCCGGGGAAGGAAAATGTATGATGTTGGCAGGCCGGTAGCGACGATGGCCCAAAGGCAGTGTCACTGCAGTCAGGGATTATTTAATTATTGTGGTTGGCCAATGTTCTGGCCGATCCCGTAAAAAAGGTTTCTGGGTAAGTAAAGCTGTGTGCAGTAGCAGGTGACTTGTCTGACAGCCTTCACTCGCCTGGCCTGACCTCCCTCCAGCCCACCACCCTGACCTCCCTCCAGCCCACCACCCTGACCTCCCTCCAGCCCTGCACCCTGACCTCCCTCCAGCCTGGCACCCTGACCTCCAGCCTGGCATACACCGCCCAGGAGCCCATAGATCAGGCTGCAGGTTGGCTGCTGTGCTACTCACCTAAAATTGCAAATCCTGCAGAAATCAGAGCCAGGGAGTACATCAGGGAGTCTTCCTCCCCCTCTGCTCGTATAAGGCCGATCCTGGGATTTAAGCTGTGTGATGAGCGTGAGCGTTCAGCCCAGTGCCCTTTGAAGAGCTCCAAAGGGAGTTTGTCACAGGCGCTCTCCCGAGGTCTCCCTGTAGCTCTGTGCTCCCTCCTCCTCCTGGCATGGCCTCTTTGTCTGGCCCATTGTGGTGATTGTTAACTGCAGCCAGAGCTAATCTTTCTTTCCCTGCTTCAAACACTTCTGTCTTGTGTTAGAGCTTTGAATGGGCTGAAAAAAAAAAAAGAAAAAAAAAAAAGAAAAAAGCAACTGTCTGAAATGAAAGAAGAGTGCAGATGAGATGAGCACAGACAGAAGGAAAATGTTTTTGAAAAGGGAATAGGTGGGAGGAGGAGAAACACTGTAGGCTTTTAATAAGTAGTTTAGTTTTATTCTTGTGCTGTGTTTGTTTCATGTTTCCTAGCTCAGATTGAAGGGATTACAGGTTGTGCAGATTTGATGTTCAGGTCCCACTCATGTGACCAAACTCTATGTATTTCATTGGAGACAATCTTCTTTCTTTCTTCTCCGCCTAGGAAAACAGGCTATGGTTTATTTTCCATGCCCTCTCACAGCCCTGCGCTGCGAATGGATGCCATATGGAACTCCCAGCTCCAGGAACAGTCAGAGAGTGATACTGTCCGGTTCTGTCTGCAGTGTTTCACTTGGTCCTATTACCAAGCCGCTTTTTTCTTCCTCTTGCAATTTGCTTTGAAAATCAGCCGTGAAAAATTGATTAGTTCACATTATTGCTAATCACGACTCTCCAGGTTGCTGAAGGAGGAATTCTAGTGGTGTAACACTTCACCTGAGATGTCACAGGAACTAAGCCTCCAAGTGGGTCTCAGCTTTTAAGTTTCTGTAAGGAAAGATTTGTAGGTGCTATGTCAGAGTTTTCCTTGACTCGTTTCAGTTTGTATGACAAGCCCCATCCTCAGGTGTTTCACGATACTCACTTTACACATAGAAAGTGGAAAAACAACCCCTTGTAATGAAGTCCTACTTCATGTCTCACTATTCTGAGGCACTAAACAAAGTTGCTCGTCTTCCTTGTTTATTTGGTGTCTAAGCAGGTAAAGGGCTTTTTCTCTCTGGAAAGAACCTTGTTGAGTGGGTGATCACACAGTGCTCTATCTGTGATGGAGCTTGCTTCAGGTTAGTGTAACATCCCTTATCTCAGAGTCACTCCTAATTTAGACCAGAGAACACAATTTTTGATGGAGGAGAAAATTAGGCTCAATGGCTTCTAGCGCAACTGGCGTGAGCGTGAGGTTTCTTTTTTGGGTTGCCGTAGCTTCACATGCGCTATGCTTCATACTTCAAATGCTGAAGACAACAAGAGGAATATAAAACAAGTCGTATGTATTAGAGGACGTTGCCAAGGCACTCAAATGTTACTTGTTTGGTGTTTTGAAGAGAACCAGCACTAAGATTTTTGCCTGGCCAGTGCCACCTCAGTTGGTGAACTGCCTGCCTTTAAGTCCCAGCCTTGTTATCTAAGTGCTTTTATGGTCGTTTAACAACTGCAGGTGGGGGAGGAGACACCTCCCTGAACTCAACATAGTGTTGTGGTTCTTGACCTCTTGGTAGAGAGATTTCAGGAAATGACTAGAAAGTACGTGCTAGCATTATCTGGTAACGCACCCATGAAAAGGGCAGGACTACTTGCTGAGGTTGCCAACCGAAATTATAGGCATTTAGTTTTGTGCTGGGTTGCACCTGACGTGGGAAAGAAAAGTGTCTGTATTGAACTTGGAACTTTTGCACAGCAGTATGGAAGAAGAGCTACTAACCCATCCCACAGTGCCTTTGTATGGCATTTGTCTGGGTTTTAATATGTTAAGCTACTCTCAGGTCACAGTTGTTCTTGTGGATTGGTTACTTGCATGAGATACTAAACATTTTTGTAACCTGAACTCATGCTACTCTTGGGCAAGTGATAACTGCCTCCCTGGTTCATTTTTACAACATGATTATCCCTTCAATTAAAGTTTCTCTGCATGCTGCTTCTTAAGAATACTCTGCTCTTGGACATAAGTTTTCTTTGTGTCCATGAACATGCCTTTGTGGACAAACGTCATGTGTATTATTAATTTATGGAAATCTCTGGTTTATATGGGTCAAAAAAATGGATAAGACTTTTGGAAATGTGTCAGTCTTCAGTTCCTCTGGGCTAGAACCTTCTCTTTGAAAAAAAAATGCATTATTTTGGAATGCTTCCTGGGCATATGTTGTCTGTTTCTAATGCTATCAGTATACCGTCCATTTGAGAACATTACACTTCGTTCCTTCCTAAAGAAACATCATACTTTTGTGCCAAGTTTACAGTGAGCTGCAGTCAATAATCTGGCTTTTAAAACTGAAATCCAAAGGGTAACAGCAGTAAGAGGAGACAGGAGGCTCTTCTACATTGTCTTCTACAGACATCCCAAGGCATTTCCCCTGTATGAGACTTACTGTGTTTACTTCTGTGCGTACTCACTGATATTAGCTGGAGTGAGAGTGGCCCAGCAGGCAGCGCTGGGACCTGGGCTTTGGCTGGTGGAGTTCTGTGCCCTGTTTTGGTGCTGACTTGCCAAATTCTCTTACCTTCCATGTTCTTCACGTCATCCATCTTACAGCGACAGCGATTGTACCCTTTGTGCCGTGCATTGGTAGGGCAGTTAATTAGTGCTAACTAACCACAAATGTTTGAGATCATTTGGAGGGGAGGGGCGGCAGTGTGCCAAGCGCCGTTCCTACATGAGAAGCCGTACCTGCTTCACCACGTGCGCTCGAGCAGCTGGCGTTCTGCGGGTAGATTGAGATGATACGCTGCCAGATGCCTTTGCACTGACCAGTGCATGCTGTAGAGCAAAATGTTCCCTTTATCCTAGTTCACATGAGCATGCCCATATGGATGGCTCCTCGTAGAAGGAGAGTTCTGTATATTGACAGCAGAGATGAAAACAAAATGCATCAGCTGGGAGCTGTTGGTGCTAACACAACAAAGAGGAGACACTTATTACTGGGTCCACTGGCCTGACCTCTCTGCTGTGGTTATCCTCATTTGTCCTCTTTCGCTCTTAATAATTCTGACAGCGCTTCCGTCTCTAGTCTCTCGCCTCTTAAGCTGAAAAATTTTTTCTGTTTAAATTGACCCATTCCTTTGTGGGAAGGTCAAAAATGGATTGGGAGGTGTCTTTGTTTTTACAAACAGGCTTATGTCTTATAGCAAAAAAAATTAAAAATATTCCAATTAAATGCAGAACAGAGCTGTAAATAGCAATGGCCTGGTAATTGCTGTACCAACTTAGATGAAAGTATTACTTAGTGATTAAATGTCAACAGGTTTCACAAACAGCAAATGTCTTCAAGTTGACATAAAGAAGGCCTCTCTGGAGGTCATTGTAAATACCAGATTTATTGTGCCTCAGTGGAGAATGTGCTGGAAATTGAAAAGGAAATGCCACCATAGATCTTTAGAGTGTCTCAAAAAAACAGAAGGGTTATTGGTGCCTGCAGTAAAAAGCTTTTAACTCCTTGAATTAACTGTTGACAAACCATATTTAATACTTGCTAACCTATTAATAAAATGTTCGTTTTTCAGGTCAGACTATGATGACTGGAGACCAGCCTTGGCCAGCTTGCTTCAGCCCATCCCATTTCCCAAGGAGTAAGTTTGCACTGTCTTAGTATTTACTGGGCTATTCTTGTTACTGTTGCTTTATGGTGAAATATAATGTCAAGTAAAAACTGATGGTAACAGGAGCTTTGTGCCTCTAGTAGTGATTTAGAATCTAGAATTGATTCTGTCTGATGCGAAGGAACGTGAAGACTTCTCCGTATTCATCTTCCTTCCCCATTTCTCTAAGATGATCCTGAAGAGAAAAATGGTAAACTAGAGACAGGCAGACAGGGAAGGCGGAAAGCTGGTGAGGAGGAGAGTAAAGTGAGAGATTTAGTGGAGGAGGATGCTTTCCTGGCGTCAGAGAGACTCGTATCATTTGTATTTTGCTTTAAATGAAGAAGCTACCCTACGGATCAGCCAAGCTCCCTCAGAAACCTATTAATGAACAGCAGTGTTTATAAAATGCAGACCTCCACGGACAAACATTACAACCTATAATTGTACAATTTACTAGCTTATCACATCCCCTAATGACCTGATGTCTTGAATCAGAGAGGTCTAATACTCCGTGCCAGGTTACCTGGGCTACAGTGAGAGCTCAGAGATAGGCAACAGAGACATCATTTACCTAAGTCAAGCGTGAGTCCTGGGGGAGGTGTAAACCACACCATGATGCAAGGCACTTCACAGAATGACCATTAATTGCTTTACTGATGTACGATGTTAATTAGTTGTGACCATACCTTAATTGCATTGCAATTAGAGAATTCACCTGGCTCTTGGAGGTAGCCAGAATTCTGTTTGTAATTATATAGCTGTATTGTAAATCTTTTACTTACTTTCTTCTGACCCAAAGCTCCCACTGACGTTAGTCAGAGCCTTGTCTAAGACAGGACTCAAGAAAAGCTACGATATTTGTTCCAAGTGATTTCCACCGCCTCACCCCTTCGTTTTTTCCACCCTAGATTAATGAAGGAGACTTTACCTGATCTTTTTTGGAAAGATTATTCTTTTGGCTTTCTGTGCTGCAGTTGCTTAGCAAATCCTTTTATTATCTGGAAAGAACTGGAAAGTGGTTGTTTGTTTTTTTGGTGTGTTTTTTTCCCCTCCCTTCCTTCTCCCAAATCCTCATGCTCTTCTGTTTTCTGTTTCAAATTTCAGGGCTCTTGCACATGAGAAATTCACAAAGTAAGTTTGTGGGGCTTGCTTGTTTTGTTGAAGGGGGTAATAACTTAAAATACTTGTACTAGTCAATAATAGCAGTGATGCATTATTCAATATTGTGTCTTTAACATTTTTCATCTGTGAGGGGCTGTAAGCATGTTCTGTTAGCAATAAAAAGATGTAGTTTTCTTTGTAATTTACTGTGACAGCAGGAGCCCAAGGACTAAAGACACTGGATGCCGATAGAATTTACAAACGAGTTTGTCACTGCACATCTCCAAAAGCTTTTCTAGGCTATTGTGAATAAACAGTGTTCTTTTAGACCTCATATTTCCTTCCTGTGGAAGCAGTTCAACGTGTTTCTCTCTAAAGTGCATGAATATATATTGTTTAAAGTGTAATCCAAGAGAAATGTGACACTTGTGTGAATACTGCAAACAGCAGCTACTTATTCTTGTCCTTTTACCATTTTTTTTTCCAGGGAGCTGAAATACGTAATTCAGAGATTTGCAGAAGACCCGAGGCAAGAAGTGAGTTTGCTGCCAGTTTACACAGAGTAGTAGTCAGAGGGATTGCAAGTATACTTGTTCAGAAGATCTGTCCTTAGGTAGTTTGCTTCCAAACGTGGCGTGGTTTTGCTGTGCTTAAGTCTCTTGGAGGGTAACTCCTGAGCCACTCAGGACACACTGTCTCAGTATGAATGTGTTGTAACCTCCTTGTCTGGCATCAGTTGATGTCCTAGCCCCACAGTATGCTGCAGCCAGCAAGATTTCCCCACTCTGTTGAATCTCTCCAAGCTTTTCATCTTCCATACAAAAAAAAGGGAAGCAAAATCCATGGATCCATACAGCTTACAAAATAACAGGTTTTATTTAGCCGTGTTTCAGTTACATTGTGTGCAAATGACCCCATAAATCTCATGGATTAGCAGGAGAAAGGAGGTGGGAGGTGTGTTACTGGAACAAGTGCGTAGCTGTAGCCTCACAGTGGCTGACTGCTTCGTAGCTGCACGTGTAGCTTGTTCAACATCATCAGCTTTGGCTGAGTCAGAGGGAACCTCTCATCTGTGTTTATTTTTAATGTTGGCATAAAGGGAAGAAAGCTCCCCCAAACTGTGGGTGAGGAGGCTGTGTCGTCATCATCATTGCCCAGAACTCCTGGTGTTCATGGTTTTAGCCTTTGTGAGCAGTAGTCATCCTTGTTAGATAAGAGAGCCCTTCTTGTCTTGGAATGGCACCAGGATTTTGTCTGTCACTAGTGTTACATGCCCAAAGGCAAGAGCATGGACTTTACCTCCCGCCTACAGACCTCAAAAATTGAAATAGAACATCTGTCTCTTCGGGGAAGGCGGGGAGGGTGGGAGAATAAAAAAAAAAAAAAAAAAATGCTTAATTGTTAATTATGGCTCCTCTGTTAAACTGTGGAACTAGATATAGTAAACTCTGCAGTGCGCCAAACTAATGGTTTGCTCACTGGTGCCATTTGAGCACCAGTGGCACCAGTGAGCAACCATTTGCTCAATGGTTGCTCACTGGTGCCACTTCTTCTGTGCAACTTCTGGCTTATGTATCCCTGTTGAATTTTCCTTGTGGACTTCCTTCGCCCTGACTCTGGTCAAATCTTATTATAGCAGGAGTAGTAAGAATTTTTAATGATTCAAACAAGCAAGCCATCAGCCCTGCATTTGGCATGCAGATCCCTTCAGGAGTATAGATATGCATGCTGAGAGGATGGGGGGAAAATGGCAGAAGCTCAGAAATTTGAGTCTTTTTTTGTTTTTGAATGTTGTTTTTTTTCCAAGTGAAAGGAGCTGTTCTAGATTAAGCCATTTTGTATTTGGTTTGTGCAAAGGGAATGAAGGTGGCCGTGCAATTAACAATGATACAGCTTCCCTCCTTGTTTATACTGAAAAAATTGGTTCTGTGGGTGGAGACTTGCCTGCAGCTCTGTAGATTGGAATATTAACCATAAAATTTCCAGCAGTCCCTGGTTTTTCAGTTACTTCTTTTGGCCCAGTGTGGGAGATGAGATACTGGTGATTATTGGCAGGAACTGTAACCTTCCCCACGTCTTCACTTTTTGGCAGGTCCACTCGTGTTTGCTGAGTGTGCGGGCTGGCAAAGATGGCTGGTTCCAGCTCTACAGCCCTGGAGGAGTGGCATGTGATGATGATGGAGAGCTGTTTGCCAGTATGGTACGTGTCTGCAATAATGTGAGTTTAGTAACTTCTTTGCAGTAAGTAGTTTATGCGTGGTTGGCAGTAACAAGATTTACTTGCTTTTGTCAAAAAATTATGAAAATCGTGGTTCTGTAAACCACAAGTGTTGACCAGGGAATCTAAATCTTTGCATCACCAAATCCATTGAACTTCCTTGCAGTCGCAATTTTTGAACTTTCTCTTTTTGAACTTTGGTGTGTTTTTCCACTAGTAGTGTAATGCACAAAACCATGCGTGTATATATATGTGTGTGCATATATACGTATGTATTTTTGTGCTTATAAATGTGTGTGTGTGTCTGTGTGAAAAAACTCTCTCAGAGCATATGGAATACTGGGAGACAGGAGACTGACTGCTCTGCACATCCACACCTATAGTTTTAATTTATAGGCTACCCTGGAGTTTAAAACTAACAGTAACATTGAATTAATCAGAGGATGGATAGATAGATATAAAAGTGGGTTACCAGTTTCTCTGCCCAATTACATTCTTGTGGGGAGATATAATTAGAAACCAACATTCCATTTCCCACAGTTATTTCTTTTGTAACTCTTAGAAGGACTAGACAGAAAATAACAGGTTTTAGTCACTGATGCTGGCACTGTCTTCCTGCGTGACCTGGGTCAAGTCATGTAGGTCTCACTGTGTATTAATTCTCTATATAGCAAGTAAGATGGAAATGATATTAGTTCCTTTCCCTGGTAAGGGGAAAAGTATTTGTTGAAGTTGGCTGTTGGATATACAGTGAAGTGACTTTTGGGGAGATCTACACTTTGGGCATCTCCCACATGCAGAACATTTTGGGACATAAAGAACACTCATGTCTGTCTATACTCTTAACTCAAATTCAGATGGATCAGGTACCTTTGAAACAGATAAGGGAAAAAGACTTCACCAAAGATCTCATCCCTCTTCACTGATTCTACATCTTTTATGTTTGAAAAGAAAATTTCTTCAGAACTGTATCATTTCTCCTGAGAGCTTTTGTGGTCCAAGACATTTATGAGCATCAGGAGATGGTGTGCATGAGAAGGCACAATGATAACACACATTAATATGCAGTACTCTGTGCCCTTTGCAAGGATGTCGATAAATACTTAAAGAGCTGATAACGACTAACCATAAAGTTTGAAAAACATCCTGTTCTGAGATGGACCTTCCATTAGTGTTAGCGTCAGTATTTTCTGTTGCTCAAGAAGACCTCCAAAAAAGCTTAATGATAACTGCATGAAATTAAATTCTTTTTGGCCTGAAGCTTACTGGTTTTAAAGGCCACCTGAGCTGATGGATACTTAAGAAAAAAAGATTTTGTGTTTTTTCTAAAGGCCTTGCTGATAACAAAGCCACGAGGAAGAAAAATTGCATGATAGCACATGATTCACGTTGAATTGACCCCATCATGGAGTGGCTGTGATATTTTCAGCAGTTTTGAACATAGTCCAGGCAATACCATGAACCAGGGGGACCACAGAATGTATTTACAAGCTTATTGTAGAGTAGTGGTGGTGTCAAGTCTATATAGTGGAGCTCTTACTCCCCAGGTCATTGGAAACTACAAATTCTCACATAGTGCTCTGTCAGCAAGCTGGTGAATCAGCAGTCTGGGCCATAAAGTAAGACTTTCAGCTAGGAACCCAAAATTCTGTGCAGCTAATCTGTAGGGCTTTTAAATGGGAAAGAATATTGCCAACCTCTTTTGTGGGAAGACACTCTTCCATTTGATTTGTACAAGCAGTGGTGCGTTTCTGCCATAGGTGTTATGACGTGCTATCATCTGATGCTTTCTGGAGCTAGCAGAGAGTCTGCAGGACACTTTTGTCAGCTAGTGGATTTGAAGGAGTCTTACTCAGACGGTGTTCTCAGCATTTCTTTCCTTTCAGGGAAAACTGAGCAAAAGGGAAAGCAAGATAATGACCCAAAAGCACATGAAATCATCTCTGACTTAAGGCTCAGGACTGCTGGATTTTCTTAAGGCATTTCCTTCTTTTCCCACTCAGCTCTGTCTGTTCATTCTGAACAGGGGATTTTGTCCATCACTACCCCTTAACCAAGGCCAGTGTTCAGCCAGCAGATTGCCAGCACCACTGCCTTTTGCCTAGACGTCCCATCCAGCCCACACAACCCTTGCTCACCAGCTGCCGTTTCCAGAGAAACTGAGCCGCAAATGGATGCGAAAGCAAAATCTCCTGTGGTTCCCCTGGGGCTGGGTTCAGCCTGTTACAAGGAACGGGGGCAATTGCACAGCTGTTCTGATGTTTCTTGGGGAGCCTATATCAGGCCTCTGGGCTGTTGGCTGAGCTCCTTCATGGAGGAAAACTACCTGCTCCCTCAGATCTCACTAGGCATCACCTTTTTCAAAAAGTCACTTCCAATCAGCAATAAAGCTGTTGAGAAGCTGCAACCATAATGATAATGAGGGCCTCCTTTTCTTCAGGTTTGTTGCAAATACACTTGTTTGGCTGTGTAACAACGTCTCTTCCAGAGGTAAATGTGTTTCTTAGGCTTACACCTTTAATTTTAACTCTGTTTCTCAAATAGGTTCATATTTTAATGGGATCCTGCTATAAAACAAAGAAGTTCCTGCTTTCACTGGCTGAAAATAAATTAGGACCTTGCATGCTACTGGCTTTGAGGGGTAACCAGACAATGGTAGAGGTAAGCCCTAAACATACGTGGTCATATAGGTTTATGAGCAGTATTCAAATTCGGTTTCACATTGCCTTTCCCAGAATTAGATCTAGTGGAACTAGAGAAGCCGAGTTCAGGTTTGTGTGGCATCAAACACGAGCAGTGGGCAGCTGTGTTGCTCTTGATTAAGTGGAACGGAATATTGTTCTGCAGATATGAGTGTGAATTATGTGAAAGGTGGGTGCAAGAATTTTTGGAGAGAGAGATTGTTTGTGATAAATCAGTTGGAGAATCTAAGATGGGAAGCTCATGGCTGTGATGGCATAGGCTGTGGCCAGGGGTCAGAATTCAGAACCACAAGGCTTTTCCATGACTAAATGCCTGATGCTTGTCTTACCACCTGTTAAAGGAGCGGTACACAAAAAGTGCATTTACAAAACCTTATTTACTTGCATTAACACACATTTTTTCTGCTTATGATTGGTTATTTTTGTAGTGCTAATAGTTTGTACGTTTTTTCTGGGTTTCTTGAAAGAAGTTTCCTGGTAAATGTGATCATATATTTGAAATGGAAGTAGAGGGTGGTTAAATAGGTGGAAGGAGTTCCAGTTTTTCATTGACTTAGATCTGTGCGTGCTAATTTAATCCAGTAAATAAAAGTGTGTGCTGCATGAATTTGAATATAATGTTGCTTGATTTTTTTCATTAAAAATAATTAAAATTATGGAGAGAATAAAAACTTGGCATTTTAATTGCAATGGCATGGTATGTAGTTGAAAAGGAAAGACAGCATGGAAGGGGCAGCTTGTGTCCTAAGCCCTTGTGACTCACTGGACTCAGCTCCCAGTGTCTAACTTGCTCCTGGCAGCCCCTTGCCCAGGAGTGAGTCAGATGTGTTCCCAGTGAGACGGGGGGTGTCCTGGCCACAGCAGCAAGCTCCCGGTGTCATCTTCTCTCAGAGCCTCTCTGCCCTTTCCCCATCCTGCCTTATAGACTGGATACACTTCACATGCATTCTGCTTGCACAGAAACCCCGGCACTTAGGGACAGAAAATCCAGCACTTGGGGAACTGCTTGGCTCTGCTGCTCATGTGTAATGTCCCAGGTCTGCCAATCTGCAGTCTAGCCAGTGTACCTGGGAAATACTGGATCGATTGTACCTGTTCTGAAGAGGGCTGTGGCATGAAGCCATCTTCCAGGACTGATGCAAAGTAATTGCACCTCTCAGTCAGAAGGAACGAGCACTAATGGAAGACAAGATAGATAGGCTGACTTTCAGAGATGAGAGTTCATTCTTTACGAATAAAAAATTGGTTTCTTGTGTTGGAAGGTCAGTAAATTTTGCTATGATCCTCTAATCTAGCCTGCATAATGCATGCTCTATAAACCTACCCAGTAATTTAAACTAGCATGCCCACTGTAATTAGGATATTTGGAAGAAATTGACAGTAAGCACTGCAGTGACCACTCTTCTTTCATTCTGCTGCTAGATTTTGTGTTTGATGCTGGAATACAACATCATCGATAATAACGACACCCAGCTCCAGATCATCTCTACCCTGGAAAGCACAGACGTGGGAAAGAGAATGTATGAACAGCTGTGTGACAGGCAGAGGGAGTTAAAAGAGCTGGTATGTTGCCCTGCACGCAGTATTGCCATAGCACGTTGTGGTCTGTCCTCTCCAGAAATGGAGGTACAAAAGAAAGACAAGCAGGGTGTGAAATTCCCAGTTAACAACAGGATGGGCGCAGTATTTGGAGAATTTTACTGTGAATATATATACTGTGTGATATTTACTGATGTGTCTCATCCCATACTACGTTTACGAACGATATTCAGTAACCTGCTTGGAATCTGTGTGAAAGAATAAAGGTGAAATCCTGCTGTCTTAAGATCTTACAAGTCAGCTTGTCAAATTCTGCCACCTTTTGACATACGAGTAGCAAATGGTTCTAGTGCTGGCCAGCGTTTCTTAATGCTTTGACATTCACAACATTTCATTGAGATGGTCTTTAGATCTAGTTCTCGGAGCTAGAGCTCATGAGGAAGAGATTTTTTTTTTTTCCTGATTTTAAAGACAGGATCTATTGAAGATACATCTGTTCTCATTAGCACTTTTTCACCTAAGTGAACATACCTACAGTCTTCCTCTTCCCTCTTTCAGATTTATATTTGTCTTCCTTAACCCCTGCTCCCAGCCTGGAAAGTGTATGCTTTTTCAGAAGTCAAACAAATGCACGGTCTCACTCCCTTTGCTATCCTAGTCCAGCGTTTTAAGGCTGTTTCCTTTAGTGAAAGTAACCAAATAATGGCAGCCTGAATCAGGCAAAATGCTGACCCGTGGCACGAAGACCACGAGCTGCGGTTAGTGGATGTCCCCTGGGTAGCAACAGGCCTGCATCTAGCACACAGAAAAAAATCTGTCAGTGCAGAAAAAGCAGGGAAGAGGTGGAAGGGCTGGCAGGGAGCTTTGAAGTTGGAGCAGGGTTTGCTCTAGTGAGGAGCTTGATCTACTTTGGTTGGTCTGAAACATAGAATGGCAACTTGTTTGACCAAAATATCTTCTCTCTTACAGCAACGAAAAGGTGGTCCCACAAGGTTAACACTGCCATCCAAGTCCACAGTAAGTTAATCATGTCAATAGAAAAACAAGCTTTGTCTTTCCATATTTAAACGCTTGGTTTATGTTTGCCATGTGGCACAGTGGTTTTGGTCTGTCGAGAGGGGAGCCATTCCACTTGCTCTGTCAACACAACACGAGTTCGCGCAAGTAAGGGCACATTTCTGCTCTTGGGTCTGTGCAGCAGTTTCCGATGCCAGTACAAGCATCAGACTGTCAGATTTATACTGTAGGATCTAATGGTAGATTTGAGGGCAGAATTTTGCATTAAAAAAGCAGACTTCACGAACATCCAATTTGATCTTAGACATGAAAGTCTGAAAGAGACCCATCTCTGTTGCAGTTAAGCCTGGTGTAAACCCAGACTAACTTCACTGAGGCCAGGTAATGGTCCTCCTGAACACAGTTTGGATCTAGAACTTCCAGTGAAATCTTCATTAAGATAAAAGACCCATCTTCAACATTTGTTCGGACTCTGAAGTCTTCGTGTCTCATAAGGATAGATACTCAAAGAAAATTTTTGTCCTGATGTCCTGATACATTTTTCCCAGGGTGCATGAAGCAACGCTGTCACAAGAGCCCAGCTGCTTGCCAAACAAACAAACAAGAGAAACTGTGTGGTTCTCTATTACTGTAAAGAAGTGGTAGAGTTGTGCAGCTCTTGCTAGATAACAGTAGCAGTGACACCACTGCAGACGATTGCAGGCTGAGGAGTCAATCATCTTGCTTATCAATCTGTTGTCCGCTTTCAGGATGCGGACCTGGCCCGCTTGCTAAGCTCGGGATCTTTTGGAAATTTGGAAAACCTCAGCCTGGCCTTTACCAATGTGACAAGCGCTTGTGCTGAGCACCTCATTAAACTGCCTTCACTCAAGCAGCTGAACCTGTGGTCAACTCAGGTAAGTGCTTTGCAGACTGAAACTCAGAGCAGGAACCAATGCTGACTAATTCTGAAATTTCACATTACGTCAGCACAAGAAGAGTGGTGAAGAGGCTTCCTTAGAATGAGTTTGCTGACCTCGTACTATTTTTACAGGACCTTTCTATGATCTAGCTCATCTTGGAGGCTGATTTTTCTTTTTCCTTTTTTTTTCTGTTTTTAATTTTTATTTTATTTTTAATTATAAAAGGGTTGCTGTTATCTTGGGTTGAATGTTCCAGTTAGGCATTGTTGATACTCTTTACTTTACAGTACATGTGCTTCTGTTCATCTAAGAAGTGCTTATGCTTTCACCCATTTCGGATGAAAAAAATGATGCTGTGCAGCTTATCTGGTCAAGCAAAACACAGAGTCTGTGCAGTGTAGGCAGTGAATTGCCCTAAACACCGACCAACCAAAAAACAACAGCAACAAAAAGAATCTCAAATAATGACTAAATAGAAGGAAACTACAATGAGAATGTGGTTGTTTTGTAAGCAAAAAGAGGTCAAGTTAACTGCATAAATTATCCAGCTGTTAATTGAAAGAGCTTTTAAAATTAAATTCATCTTCTGCGTTTGCTTGTTGGTTTTGGTCTCTGAGATTCTCCACGGAATAAGTTTTCCCCATTTTCTGTTAGCATCTATTTGTAATGCTCGCTGAAAATATTGTTCTCAGTGCAACCACAAAAAACAGCATTCTTTTTTCACTCAAATATCATGTAAATATCTTGTTTTATTTTCCTAACTACTTTTGTATCCCATAAACTTCCTCTTTTTGTATGGGGAATATGAAGTAGAATCTGATTGTTTGCTTATTTTAAGACTGTCTTGTATCTCCTCCAGATTTGTCCTAACAATGTAACTTTTGGATCTGAAAACTTTGATGCTTCTTGCTCAAAATGAGTTTGATTGCGCTGGACAAGAAGCCTGCTTTTTGTATGATTTAATTTAAAACAATAATAATATTTAGATTCCATTTTTTTTTTGCGATACCCTGGTTTTCATTAATCTAGAATTTAGAAACAACAGAAATGAAGTGAGTCAATAGAACAATTACCAATCAATAGTATATTGTTCTTGAGACCAAAATAGCTAATTAATACCACTTGCATTTTGCTTTTTTTTTGTGTGTGATTTGGTTGGGAACTGGCTGAGATTGCTGTAACCATCTTGTATAGCCCGGATGGGAGCTCTCTCATACAAAGTCCAGACTTCAAAGGCACCGTTCTAATTAAATGATGGCCTGTGGTTAAGTGTGCACAAGTCACTTAATTTTTGCGTTCCTCATCTGCAAAATAGGGATAAAACCGTTTGCTTTCTCTCCTGTCATTTGGGATTGTGGTAAACGATCTGAGCGTGGCTCTGAGGGCTCATCTGCAAACCTCGTTCGGTTGTGCCCTCTTTGCACATGACGTTCATGCATCGTTTGAGAGGAACTTTGCTCTCCCCCCGCAGTTCGGAGATGCAGGGTTGCGGCTTCTGTCGGAGCACCTCACCATGCTGCAAGTGCTCAACCTGTGCGAGACTCCCGTCACGGACGCTGGGCTGCTGGCACTTAGCTGTAAGTGACCGAAATAAGCTACGGAGGAAAGTTTTATGTGGGTTCAGAGGACTTCACGTGGGTTCGGACAGAAGATTGATTTCTCGGCTGCCGCAGCGCTGCTTCTGCAGGGATTTAGGGCAGGCTGTGGTTGTGTTTGGGTTTAAACTTCCCTCCTCCCTGCCCGCCCAAGGGGCCGTTCAGCTGCAGGCAGGGGAAGCGGGACGGTGATCTGAACCTGCCGACGTTTGGTGGCCTCGTGTGGGCTTCGTCCTCCCAGACGGTACTCTGGCTCTTGCCTCCGACTTTAGCGATGGCACTTGTCTCCATCGCATGTGGTGACCTGTTGCCCTGGGACTTCCTGGCTTTTTTCACACCCTGCTGTGGGTGTCTCCTCTGGGTAGGAGCCTGACCTTGTGGTGCAGGAGGGGAAGATTGCAAAGTCGTGTAGCAACTCACCAGTGAGTTTAGCAACCGTGCACGGCTGTTTTCATGCTCTCTCTGGTGTTTTTTGTTCCTTCTTTTTTGGGGAGGCGAAACTCTCGCTATTCTTATTTAAGTGGGGCAAGGCAGAGTGGGGCCATCTAAGCAGCATTCAGGATTCCCCTGTGCTCTGAGAGCAGCTCAACATGCCAGAATAAGACCCTTTCCTCCGTCTAGTAGCGTATTATAAACCTCGCCTGTTACGTTTAAAGGGTTCCTTTAATAGGCTTGATCCTACACAGACGTGCCAGACAGGCCAGTAGTTATGGCTCATCTTAGGAAACTATTCTGCTAAGTACTGGAGCCCAAAATGGAAATGAGGGGGAGGGAGGGGAGAGGGAGGACTGCTAGATCAGCGTGGCCTCTGCATGCACCATGCAGAGCACTGAGAATGGGCACTATTGAGAATAACGTGCAGGAAACTGATTATGAAAAGTTGCCTGAACTCCTTTGAAGTCAGCGAACTTAAGCATATCCTTAATGGTCCTTCCTAAATAGGGACTTTTTCCTGGATGAGGGCCCAAACAGCTGTTTATCCATTTGTACTTCTATATTTTACACTATTCAGCTTTTTCCTGGGAGTGCTGCACATAGTCATGTCTTGTTTATGCTCTGACCTACTGTAAGCTTGATATTTGAAGAAAATGCAGCATGATCATAAATATCTGTGTGTTTTCTCTTTTAGCCATGAAGAGCCTGTGTAGTTTAAATATGAACAGTACCAAACTTTCAGCAGATACCTACGAAGATCTCAAGGTATTTCTGAATTGCATCCCCTAAAGATGAGAAGTAGCTGGGCCAGGAGAACTTGCAGATTGAGCAAGTGCATGGTGGTAGTGCATAGTGCAGAGACAACTGGCCCCATGGGGTGGATAGCATGAAAGTCACCTGAAGAGGGTGAAGTGGATTATTTGGGGGAGATAATGACTGAAAACACCGTTCTGAGGTTGCTGGCTTTGTTGCACTCAGGAAACGTTTAATATGCTGAATGGATGAGTATGAGATGGAACTGAAACTGAATCTTTTTGCCAGTGCTATCAACTAAAGGTTTCATAAATAGGAGAATATTGTTGATTTCCAATGAGGATATGCAGACAGGTAAAATCTAGTGCACACATCCAAAGCCATGTCCTGTACTGTTAACAGGACCAAAAGTAGTGTGGGTGAACAGCGCTACGGAGCTTTGATTCAGAATGCAAAGGGAGAATTAAAAGCATTGAGGAAGGTGCAAGTTTATCTTGACACCTCTTGGACTGGAACTGGGCTTTAAGCAGAAACACCCGCACAAATGCCCAGTTCCCAAGTTTGACATGTAAGATACTGGTGCTACCATTTGTACTGCGGATTTACAACCGCTTTGGCAAAATGGTGTAAAGAACTAGAATGTCACTGTGGGATGGGAACGGCCCCAAGTGGTTTCAGACAAGGACTGCTTGAGATGCGTTGGCTTTCATGACTTCACGTGGACTTTTTCTTCACTCTGGTGTTGCGTGAGTCGCATCTCCCAAAGCCTTACCTTGCGTACCCAAGCGCTCGAGATGAAACTCCACAATGTGTTGTCTTGTGTGTTGAAGCCTTAGGTTGTGCTAGCTTTACTCAAAAAGGTCGCAGCCTTGGGTTGAGTTTCAAACTTGAGGCAAGTCTTGAAACTGCTCTGCTTTCAAAATTCACTGCAAACGCGTGTCTTCGGTTCTGGCTGTGGAGCCAGGGCTCCCCCAGGGACTCAGTTGCAATGCTGCTAGCATGAAAGTTTTCAAAACTTGTGTCACAATTGTATACGCAAAGAAGTTGTCCTTGGAGTTAACAGCTGGCTTGCAGCTGGGTTCACACAATGGAGCTTGTATCAGGCCCCAAGCAATTTAAATATCAGACAATTGTCTGATTTACAGACAATCAAGGTCAATGCTATATTTTGCCCAGGGCTCCGAAATCGAGCCTATGGAAACGCTCCTCCAGCCTTACCCCTGCTTCTCAGCCCCTTTGCCACTAACTTCAGGCCGCAACTCGTATTTTCCTAACCGGTTCCCTCCGCTCTGGTATTGCACTGGGAGTCTTTAGCAGCAATGCAAGAAAGCAGCTTGCCAGGGCAAACAGCAAAACTGGCTGCGAGCAAAGTCCTGATGATTGCAGAGAATTAAAAAAGCTGAGAAAACAGGCGCGCGTCACTTTTTCCCCTCTCACCTCTTTCGCTGAGATTTATCTTCGTGGCCATTTTTTTCAGAGCCCTGTGTGTGTTCAGAGGGAGGGTAATAGTTTCTTTCCCTGGGGCACATGGTTGTAGGTCTGTTGAGAACAGCTCAGACTTCAAAGAACGTATTTTTGATACAAATCTTTCCTTCTCCCCTTGGTCTGCGAGAGCATTTGGGGCACAAGGCAGTGACGACATTTCCTCTCGGCTCCATCCCCCTCCCCGCCAAACACGCTTGCACACACACAGACACCCACGTATGTACCAGGCAGGCTGAACCAGACAATAAATAAACACCCACTACTGAAGTCATTATTGCCTAACTGAAAAATTATTTGCTGGCACTGTCTGTAGGATTATGACTAGCTCTTATCAAAATATGCGTGCACATAAATCAAGGAGTGAGGTAATAATGACTCCCAGAAACTTCCAACTCCTCAATTATGCCCCAGCCTAATTAAACGTGTTTATTTGTTTTGAGAGAATTAGCCATGCAATTATGGTCAGAGAGCATGGAAACGGGATGGACAAGTAGGAACAGTGCAAACAGCCGATTCCCATCTGCCCCATGCAGGGTCATTCAAGAACAATGCATCCAAATGTAGTGGAATTACGGAAGGGAGACCACGAAGACACCAAGAGTTGCTAACGCTCTCCAAATTGTTTTAATGCGTGGGGGGAAAGATCAAGCAATGACTTAGTGTGGAGGCTGGAGAAGGGACCGGTTGCTGCAGTTTGAGCCCACTGCCTTCATGGCTGGAGTTATGACAATCAAATTTCGCCAAGCGTTTGTATAAAAAGTAAAGATCAGGGTCTGATCCAGACCTGATCTAGCCTGGTTTTTCTAGAGGCCGCTCGTTTTTGCCGCAGGTGTGACTCAGTGCTGTGTGTCCATCAAGGCTCAGCACCTTGTTCCCTCATTAACACCTGTATGTTCCAGCTCACTGCTGCACGGCCGAGGTCATAGCGCGTCTTCCCGCGGTTTGTGGCAGATATATCAATCCTCCCGGTTTGCCAACGGTACCGATTTGATGGGAACTTTTTTTTCCTGAATCCTGAACACATCATTAATTCTGACCTTTTCCTTCCCTCCCGCACAGGCTAAGCTACCCAATCTGAAAGAAGTGGACGTCCGCTACACTGAAGCATGGTGAACTCTCCCTGCTCTGACTCTTCTCTTTTCCTTCTCGTGAGAAGGAAAAGATTTTTAAAACAACCAGAGGAAAACAAACCGGAGAATAACTTTTGGCTAATACCTGTAGAGCAGTGAGTTCTGGGACTTGGTGGTAGGAGTCGTGGTTGTGGGGTAGAGGAGGGGCGTTGCGTGTGTCGGGGGGGACGGGGCAAGCCTGGACCCGGCCGGATTCTTTCAGCTTTGTGATTTCGGAATTGACATAATTTAAATTGAAAAGGAGAAAACAAAAAAAAAAAAAAGAAAAAAAAAAAGGACTTTGTAGCAGCAAGAGGATTATAAAGAGGAAAAAAACACCTTTGTGGATTTTATTTGCCTTTGTGTTTTATGCTGTGTGGAGAAAAAAAAAATAATTAATTTGTCATTATTTACCTGGGTTTCCTTGGCTGGCACCCCTCCAGTCAGAACTCCTCTTTCACCAGTTTCGCTCCAGAAAATCAAACTTAGAAAAAATCTCAAGAGAAGAAAACCAAAACCAATATGATTTTCACCTCCCCCCCGTGTCCTTGCAGTTGTTATGCAAAGTAATTTTGTTGTACATAAGATTTACATAATGCACCTATTTAAGAAAATGGTTCACAAATAACAGGTCTGGGACCTGTCTTTTATTTATGAATTGTTAATTCTTTTACCCTTTTTTTTGCGTATAGTACTGTATAAAATAGTTTGCTGTCTTGTTGTTATTATTATTTTTTTTAAAAGGAAATGTCCTTCTTGAAAATTGCTTTTTAGTAACGCATACTGTATTATACTCCCTCTCTGTTACAACCTTCATCGCGTTGTCTTTCTGATTTCAAAATGCCTCAAACGTTATCAAATAGGAAGGAAAATATCTATCACGGGGGGTATGGTTGTGGGGGGGCGGGGGCGCAGGGGTTAATAAAAGTCACGTTTCCTTCCCAAGTCTGAAAACTTTCTTTAGTCTTTCAAACCATGTCAGGTTTAAACGTGGGAGATGGGGAAAAGTCGTTTATTTTGCCAATGGGCTGTTCGCAGAACGCTGTAGATTTTACAAGTCGCCTCGGTTGTTTTCTGTTTACGTCCGGTATTTCAAAAAGAGGAAAAAAAGCTCTCTCTCCGTTTTGTGCATCAGCTTTTTCTATTCCCCCCTCTTCCTCTTCTCCGCCCTCCCTCCCCGTACC